TTTTGCATCGAATCCCTTAAAATTACAAATTAACCTCATTCGCAGTTTTTTGAATCAGAGATTTCTTTCTTACAAGGGAGGCACTGACCTTTTTTTCAAAATAAATTTTAAAATACAGGTGGGTGGAAATGGACAATTTCCAAAGGATATGTTTCCTCACAATTTTGTATCTGTAAGTTAGAGAAAGTTGGTATGTATTTGAGGCATACTTTGTTTCCTTTACCTCACTGTCTGTCTCAGCTGAAATACAGTATATTCAGCTGAGGTATAACACACATGACACTGAATTTTGAATCTTATGTATTTAGACACGGATCCAGTCTTGGCTGCCACTTAGGAGCTTGTGTGACCTTTCACAGACCGCCAGCCTATTTTCTCAACTGTAAAATGGGCTGATCGGTGCACTCCCGCCAGATGTGTGGAAGGAGGTCTCGAGGTATGCACTGTTCGCTCCTTTCTAACCAGGTTGCTTTCAGCCGTATGCCTTCAGTGGGTATTGGCACGGCATTTCATGCAGTGTTTAAACAGTCATGTCCTAGAGCGTATGCGGGAAACTTGCCGCCTGCAGAAAGGGAGTGACCCAAATCCCGTGATTAAGCAAAGGAAAGAAGGACATGATCTTCTTTCTGAAGGGTTTTGTTTATGAAGCTCCTCGTGGCTTTTTTACTTTTTCCATGAAAAACTCTTTGTCCTTTTGTCTTCTGCCACTGGCCCTGGTTATGGACAGGGTGTTGATGTGAAGACAGTTTCCAGATTGGGAATTAATGAGGTGTTCCATCCAGAGAGAAACCTTCCTCCCGTACCATAAGGCACGCTGCCCCTGGGAACCCCACCCCCACCCCCATTTAGGTCTTTGCTTTCCTGCTGCCCTGTCTGCAGTCATGGGCATCCTTGCTTCCCTGCTGCCTCACCACGTTTTCCTGGCCTAGGATTTTTTCTTCTTAATTTTATTTATTTATTGAGAGAGAGCATGCGCATGCGCAGGGGAGGGGCAGGGGGAGGGAGAGGGAGAGAATCTCAAACAGACTTGGTGCTGAGCATGGAGCCCGACCCAGGGTTCAGTCTCCATCCTGAGATCATGATCTGAGCTGAAGCCAAGAGTTGGACGCTCAACCGACTGTGCCACCCAGGCGCCCCCAGCCTAAGAATTTTTTAAATCTATCAGGGATGATTCCCACAATCACTGGATTGTGTTAAAGCAGGATGGGTTCTGCTGCCTGAGGCCATAGTCACTGGGCCAGAAAGTTCTTGATGACTCTTCAGAGCTTCCACTTCAGCCCTTTGTATATTCAGAAAGAAGGTTGGTGCAGATTTTCTAGGATGCAGGCATGAAGGGGAGGGGATGCTCAAGTAAGGTGAGAGCACTCTAGGAAACTTCTCATCCATACCATGATCTGACTTGGTGTTGTTCATGTGTGCTGGTAAGAAGGCTGCCCATCATTGACTGATAGGGAAACAAGCTAGAGGAGTAGAGGTGCCCATTAGGGAAAAATTAGCTCAAACTAACTGAGATAGATAGTGCAGCCAATGTGTGTTGTTCTCAAGCTTTGGTAAGGAGTGGTAGACTTCTGATTTTGCCAAGTTACAGGTAATAAATTTTAAGAACTCCTGAGGATGAAAAGTGGCCTCTGGTCAGCACTCAGCACTATAATCAGAGGGAGAAACAAAGCTCTGTTTAGATCGAGGACATATGGGCTTGGGGTTGGCAGAGTGTCTAGGAACCTTGTGGAACTTACTGCAAAATTTGGTGCATAAATATCTCAAAGGAGAGGACCTGGGGCTTTCATTAGGTTTTTAAAGCAGTTCTTGACCCACTAGTTTACGTGAAAATAGATGCCCAGTCAGGGTGGTGGGAGTCTGCCTGACCTATGTGTGGCGGTTACCTGTATAAGCATGCTGTGGTTTCCTGGGTCCTCCAGGAAAAATGGGACACAGACCCCAGGAGGCCAGATATCCTATGCCTTGGATACCTGAGGGAATCTGTGGAACTGCTTGTAAGGTGTGTGGAATCGAATGGAAAGGGAAGTTTCCCCAAGCATGCTGAAGACAGACTGGCAAACAAAATGTGGACACATAGAAGGAGGAGGGCTGACTGGGTTTGGAGTGAAACGGAGAAAAGGAAATAAGCTAAATCTCCAGGGGAAATCTTCGTGACCACAAGAATGAATAAGTCGTGGCCCTGTCATTCTAGAGGAGCTTGGAGCAACTCCATTAGTGGGGAGTTTTCAGGAAATGTGGATGTAATAGAAGAACAAGCATGGGCTGACCTTGAAAGGGGCTCTTCTGGAGACCTGCACGCACTACTTCCCCACCGGGACTGTTGGACGATACCTCAAACTGGCTGTCTAATTTCTCTTGCGTTCAGCACACACACAGACACCTCCTGAGAGCCAAGTTCAGGACCTACTTGCTGTAGCAGAAGAGTCATGAGCACAGTATTTGAATCACTATATTTTTGGGTGGGAGTGGTTCTTGGAATAATCCAGAAAGTGTAGTTTAAGGGTTGGGTTTTGTTTTGGGTTTTTTTTAAAGAAAATTAAAGTCTGATATTACAGATCCAAGACTCTATAATGAGGCTCTTTGCACTGAATCAAGGGAAAATGAGGGTAGTTTCTACCATTCTCTTCCTGTGCTTCTTGGCTGCCATTTTAAGAGTATTCATTGTTCCTTCAGGGGCAGGTTAGGGTATCAGGGGGGTCTCTCTTGCCTTCCAGGGTAGTAACCAGCCGTGTGCTATAGAGGTTGTGTGGCATGGACGGCTCCTCTGGGCTGGGCGCTCTCCTTTCCCCCTGGAAACACCCATGGATCTTTCAGATGACTTTTTTTCAGGAAGCATATTTCGGAGGTTGTGAACAGAATGGTTTGACCTGTGAAAAGGAAGGCAGAGGGGATGTTCGCAAGCCCAGGCGGAGAGGTTCCGCAACTGATTAGACCTCTCTCCCTCCTCCCGAGCCCCCTCTGCCTCTCAGTACATCTGGCTTTTCCTTGCTCATGAATCCATTCCCCACAATATTTATCTCAGAGCTTTTCCACTTCTTCATGCCTTTGAGCCCCACCTAGCCCCTCTCATCCTTTGCCTTCTGCCCCATAGAATGGGGCTAGCTGATGTGAGTGCTCTCACCTCCCCACTTCTTGCCCCCAGACTTGCCTCCCTCGCCTCCCCTTTCCTTCTTGCCTCCTCTCCAGGCCACTCTTCCTGTCTTATGGATGGGTGCCTCCACTTGGCCCAGGATCCGTTCCTTTTGTGCTGGCTTCTTCCCCTCACCCCACAAACCCAGCATAATCCTCTGTCCTGCCAGCCCCCCCGGAAGTGGTCATCCACGCTCATTGCCTTGCCTCCACCAACCATGCACCTGTCCTTAACCCAGGACTTCCCAGACTTCTTCACATCGTGACGCACGGAGGAGATGTTGCTGTTTGCCTGGCACGAGGGCAGGCGGATCTGGCTGCCCCGAGGGTGGACGGGCCCGCTGTGGCAGCCTTTCCCAAATCTCTGCCATTTGACTCTGCCGCCCCACCCCACCCCATGCTTTTCCCCCTAAAAAGCCTTCCCAAAGATCACCAATAAGCAAATGCTACATGCAAAGATTTTTCTTTGTTCTTATCTTCTTTGGCATCCAAGTGGCATGTGACTCTCCCCAGTGGCCAAGAGCTCAGACTCAGGTGGCACTGCTGCGGCTCAGTTCCTGGCTGTGCCTTTCCCCAGCCTGTGACCTCAGACACGTCACTTACTGTGTCCGTGCCTCAGTTCCCGCCTTCGCAGGATGAGGATAATAAAACCTACCTCATAGGGTCGCTGCCTGAAATGGCCGCTCTGTGGGAAGCGTCTTGTCTCCTCGTAAGTGCTCTGGATTTGTCTGTTGTGGCTTTTGAGTACTCCTTTCTTAAAGCCCCTCTCCCCTAATGTTGGACACTCCTGATCTTTCTCCTATCCCTTTGAGCTCTCTTGTTTTTTGTTTTCACTCTCCAGATTCTCCTTTTGCCCCCTAAAATGGAGAAGGTGGTAGAGAATGCCGCCTTGACTCTCCCTTGCCCTTTCTTTCTTTCTCAGACCTTCCTGCTGAGGCTTCCAGCTTCCCACCTGCAGATCAGTCATCGCCCCAGCCCCACACCCCAGCTGCCTGCTACATAGCCCACCATCTGGATCTCCTCCCTGCACCTCAGACTCAGGAGTCCCCAAAATATTTTAACATTTGTTTTTGTTTTAAAAGCAATGATTTCTCCTTATAGAAAATACAAGCAAACTTAAAGGATAAAATACAAATCAGCGGTAATCCCACCACAGCGAGCACCACTACTACACTTGGGTGGATCTTTCGAGCCCAGTGGGCCTCAGCCTAGGCCGAGGTTCCCCCCTGCGGATGTTTGGCGATGTCTGGTGAGTCCAGGAATATCACCAAACATTTTACAAGGCACAGGCTCATCCCCACAACAAAAAATTAGTCCACTCAATAGTGCTGAGGTTGAGAAACCCTGTTCTCGACCTTTGTCTTTACATAAATGGCCCGAATAGAACAAGTTGGAATTCCTTTTCTCCTTCTGCCTCCGTCCTGCTTCTCTCACCTGTGTTCTGTCAGTGATTCCACTTTCTCCCTCACCCCACATCTGATCCATTACCAAGTCCACAGAGTCCCCATGTGTCACATCTTTGGCTTCTACCCTCTACCCCTTCTCTTTCTTCCAGTTTGCTATTGATGACCGACCACTCACTCAAAATAGTGAAAAGGCGCTCCAGCAGGCCCTTCACCTTGAGTCTCCCTCCTGCTGGCCCTTGCTTATGCCACCACGGCCTGCTAAATCCATCCCTCAGAGTCTGAGCTCCCTGAGGGTAGCGCTTCCACATCTGATCGGTCTTCATGCCTAGCTGGAACCTAACACCATTCTGAGCACAGAGTCAGTGCTTGGCAAATCCCTGTAGAATGTGTATGGATGAATGGTTGCATGAAAGAAAAGCCTGGGAAAAGTTCTCCTCATGATCCGTTCACAATCTATCTTTGCAGATCCTTAGTGAATGGTTTGGTCGGACCATCATTCGCTCCTGTACCAAACTGAGCTACGAGCACGCACAGAGCATGATTGAAAGCCCGACCGAGAAAATCCCCGAGAAGGAGCTGCCGCCCATCTCCACGGAACACACCAGTGAGGAGATACACCAGGCTGTCTTGAATCTCCACGGGATCGCAAAGGAGTTGCGGAAACAGCGGTTTGTGGACGGCGCACTGCGTCTGGATCAAGTCAGTCACTTCTTTTTTTTGTGCAACCAACAGATTTGACTTATGCTTGAACCTAGCATGCATGAGATTCAACATGGCAGTCTCGGGATCTTCCCTTCTTCTTTCCCCAGTCACAGCACTAAAACAGCATTCTCTGAGGTGGGCAAGGACTAAGTCTCACCCACCCTCCGAACTTCACAGGCACACGACACCCACTGACATGAGCCAAGGCAAAAGGGTGGTGTCCGTGTGTGTGGCCCTGTGACCAGAACTCCCAGCTGGTCTTTGCTAGCCAGGCTGTAACCCAGTATTTGAGCCTTCCCTCGGTTTCTCCCTCACATCCCTCTGAATGGAGGTGGGAACAGGAACATGGAAGTTTACAGGGTAGTTGACCAGTATCTGATCATGAGGCTTTAAAAAAAACGTACTTCTTTTTATCCCTTATTTTCCAAAGACAGTCATATGTTTATAAATTCTGGATTCATATTTAAAGAGGCGGAGAACTGAAGAGACTGGAGAACGTTGACCGTTGAGGAACATGGTGGCCTGGAATGGTACTGATTGCTCTTGAGTATCACAGCCATGCCCTATGGGACTTAGGAAGCTGTCGCTCAAACTTGATCACATTTCCGTTTCCATGTGTGGCAGCTCCTGCGACTTAGGAATCCTTTTCCTCTTTAGTTGTCAGTACGTCACAGAGCAGAGCCTGTGTTCTGGATTGTGCAGGGTTTTTTCTTATTTATATTTCTTACTCAAACCCCCGAGAACCTGCTCTCCCTGCCTGGTCACTCTCTGCTGGGGGACGTCTCTAGGCATTTGAAAAATGAGTTGAGCAGCAGGATTGGCTGATGGAGACCCCCGGCAAGGGGGCAGCCTCACAGAGATGCCTTTGTCTGAGGCTTCCAGCGTGGAGGGCTCTCAAAAGCTTTGTTTTAAAACTTTCTAACTGAAGATTTCATTTCATCCTAGCTTTTGTGATAAACTTCTCAGCAGGCATTGCAAATAGTTGCGGCCTTGGGCCTAGGAATAAGTTAGCAGCAACTGGGGCAAGTGGACACGCTGTTCTGCCTGGGCTTGAGGGAGTCAGGGCATCTTCTGGAGCTCTCATGCTCCTCCTTCCCTGGCCTGGGCTCAGGCAGCCTGTCTGCTTACGAATGCTGATGGGCAGGCAGGAGGTAGAGTGGCCGCTGACGAAGAGAGCCGAGCCAGTAGAAGAGGGCCCAAAAGTACCGGAGATGACAGAGTATCTCCTTGCCTTCCTTCAGTGAAATGCTTTGTGGGGGCACGAACACACCCCAGGTCATACTCACCAGGGGCTACCTGGCTGTCAAATCCAAGGACGCTTTTCAGTTCTTGCTTCCTGGACTTTGTTCTGCATCTGGCCCTTTGAAGCTCATCTCCTGGTTCTCTGCTTCTCTTCAGACATCTCCAGTAATGTCCTGCTGGTCCCTTTGCAGAAGCCTCTTCCTCTGCTGTCCCCTAGAGGGTTCTCGTTCCTTGGAGTCTCCCCCACCCTCTTTTTTGTCTCTATCCACACTCCCTGAATGAACTCCTCTACTATTACGATTGTCACTACTAACTGGATGCTGATGATGCCAAAATCTGTCTCTCCAGCCCTGCCCTCCTTCCCAAGCTCTTGACAAGCCTCTCCCCCTGCCTTCTTGAACTCTTCACCCGGATGCCTCATGGGTGGTCACGCCGGCCGGTGCTCGTCCTTCCTTGTGCACGACGCAGTGATCGGTGCCCACGGCACGCTGTGCAGCCTGCCTCACGTTCCCTCCTGCCTCTGCTCCCACCAGGGCAACTGTGTACATCAAATATGCATGCAATTTACCTGAATCAGATAAGATATACTGATCAAATAAGAGCACAAAAAAGAAAGTTGTTTCTGTGAAAACTGAAATTGTTTGAGAAGATTCAGTAAGGATGAATCTGTAAAAATTCTGCTTTTGCTTGTGCAACTATAAAAAAATAGGGGGAAAATCATAAAATTCATGAAGAATTCTGTACTCAGATGGCTTTACAGATGTCTACGTTCTCCCTGTCTTTTAAAGAAACAAAAACTGTAGGGGCACCTGAGTGGCTCGGGCGGTTAAGGGTCCAGCTCTTGATTTTGGCTCAGGTCATGATCTCAGGGTTGTGAAATGGAGCCCCTTCTGCTGTTCACTCTCACTCACGCTCTCACTCTCTCTCTCAAAAAAAAAACAAAACAAAACCCAAATATATAAAAAAAGAAACAAAAATTATAAATTATAGACACTGAATTATGAGTGTAATTTATCAGAAAAAATGTAGGAATCCAATTATCCTCTTTTAAAAAGCTTTATATTTTTAAAAATGAATGAATGTACATTTATATAAATTAAGCTAAATGATTAGTTATAAATATATCTTTTATGTATGATTCCCCTCTTTATTTTTTTAAAGATTTTATTTATTTATTTAGAGAGTGCATGCACAAGTATAAGCCAGGGGGAGGGGCAGAGGGAGAGAGAGAATCTCAAGCAGACTCCCCACTGAGCAGGGTGCCCAATATGGGACTCTGTCCCAGAACCCTGAGATCATGACCTGAGCCGAAACTGAGAATCAGACGCTTAACCGACTGAGCCACCCAGGCGCCCTGATTCTCCCCTTCAGTCAGCTCCTACAATAACTTACTAACCACTCCTTCAGGCACATCAAATTAGAGGGCTTCTGTTATAACATCTTAGAGATCTTACCCTATCAGATTGTTAGAATGTTTGATTGGATTAAGTATAAGAAATGCTCTATAACTATAAAACTGTAAAAGATCACTATTAGGTGATCTCAACTCACAGTAGGAGGGGTATGGTAGTCAAGGTAGAAGAATGATTGCAGATTATTGACTGATACTTGGCTTATCTTAGAATCAATTTAATTGCTGAAAACAACCTTAGATATCTATATCTCATTGGCTCTCACAATTTATACATTGGCAACCTAATGCCCCCCCAAAGGTTAAGTGAGTTGCTTATATGCAAGAAATCCAGATAGCTGACTCTTTGTTCCGTTTTTCTCCACTTACACCGTGCTGACTTAAGAGAGAAAAGTTTCCCTTCAAAGTGGGCCGGGGAGGGGGGGGAAGCCCTCAAAAGTCCTAATTAGGTTCCAGTTAATTAAGGTTTGAAAATAATGGGTGTACATCCTTGGAGTTGATTCCTTGGTTCCCCAGAAAATAAGTTGTGTGGACCACAGCTTTAGAAGGAGGAGCACATCAGTCTCCCGCAGCAAGGGACACTGGCGAGACCCTTTATAAATCAGCTCAATGGCCCCATTCAGGAGCTACCGTGTTTGTTCCCCTGGGCCTGCTGCCTGCATTTGCCCTCGCAAAAATCCATTTTTCCTTGGTGCTTTTGGTATAGCCTGCTGTTTGGAGTTTCTCTCTGAGGCTTTGTTAGCCTCATTTCACCATGTCCACATTTTTGGTGGCGGTCCTTAAGAAATACGCCCTTTCACACTCGCCTCAGTTAGAGAGGCTCTGTGAGAGAGGACACCAGCTGCGTCGCACAGTAGGCCCTTGGATGCACAGTAAATCTGCTAATCCAGAAGTTTTCCCTTTCCAAGAAATCAGTTTACCGTAAGGACCTTCAGAATGAGGGAGGTGGGGGATACTAGGGTAGTGCCTGTTGCTGAGTCAGGGTCGGACCGGTTTGGAGGTTGTAACAACCACAGAAATACAGAGCCACTGGAGCACCGGGTGATTGCAGTCAACAGCTTAGGCCAGAGCTGCCTCAGCCCCATCGGAGAGGGTGCACCCTCAGCCCTCGGGGCCGCCCGGGCTAGCTCCAGTCCCCAGGGGACCACCTGCTAAAGTCTTGTCTGCTCACCCTAGTGTACTACCAAATATGAGCAAGTTGTGTATGTAGTGTGGTGTGGGACCGATTGGGAAGCACTGCCTTAGAGGTCAGATCGCCGGCTTCACGTCACATGTCTCTTTTACCTAGAGCTCGAACCTCGTTCTCCAGAGGTCCTAGCTCAGTGAAATGACACTCCTTTGTTTCACTGCCCAAAAAGCAAATCGCAGATGCCCACTGCATTCTTTGAGCTTTTTGGCTGGATGAGTTGAATAGTATCCCTTCCTGGTGGTTTCTTCCCATCTTCACGTTTCCTGCTGCCATGTTAATTCTAGACTCTCCACAGAGTCTAGTCTCATTTTCTTTATTATCATGTATGTCACTCCTGTTTCTTGAAAGGAGATGCCCCTAAAGGGGGCCCAGATGTTTTTGTGTTGGTAGTAAAAGGAACCATAATGGTTTATAATCACATGCAAATCTTAAGTTTGGGGGAAGGGAAACTGTGAGAGCCCCCCCCTTCACTCCATTTCGGTTCTTGCTCTGTGACTCAGGCCTGTCAGTAGGCCTTGAGAGTGGCAAGCTCCCTGGCACTTCTGTTTATGCCGGACACAAAGCCTGCCCCCAGGCAGCCTCCTCTCTAGAGAGGAAGATAATACTACCTGTGGTCTGACAAGGCCTCAGGCCCCTTTGAGAGTTCAGTGCCTTAGCGGTTGCCTTAAAGAAAGGATAGCAAGGGAGGGTAGCCGCATAGTAAATAGAACCCTCAAACAAAAACATCTCAGGGAACATTGATTATCTTCAGGAAGCTACACCTACAGCTTTTGGGGGCTTTCTGTCCCGCCCGACGTTCCTCAGTCAGGAGATAGCACTTAGAGAGAGCCCCCACTCTGTGTGCAGACTTCTGTGAGAAACCTGCACGATGGCCTGAAAGAACCTGGGCCCCTTCTGGGGGCCCCCGGCAGGTGGTCAGGGACGTGAATGGCTCCTACTGAGCCTTTGACTTTCTGAATTTAGAGAAAGTTGTAGTGAAGAAGAGTTTTTATTTCTATCTTAGGCAATTCCTCCAAACTAAAGGAGCCTTTACCAAATTCTCAGCTACATCTTCTATCATGCCCTCCTGGCACAATTTTGAAGCCCAAACATTGGGCAGTTTCTTGGAGTGGACTTGATTGTAAAGATAAACTTGTTAGCGAAATAATTTTTAGA